CACACACACACACACACACACACACACACACACACACACACACACACTCCATATTCTGGATCATCTTGATGTTCACCTAATAACCCCCAAAATACAAGTAGTATCAGTGCCCGAACGTGCATTTTTATTTACTATCTTACTGCTGCCAAATAGGCTATTTTAATTGTAGCTGGCTGATGAAAAAAAGAAAAAAAAGACAAGGACAGATCTATTTCTTAAATGATATGTTTGTACCAAGTGAAGGCCAAATGATACCATAATATGCTGTAGAAACAAAGGTTTCTCAGAAGTTTCAAGAGTAGAATAGGCCCGGTGGTGCAGTGGTTAAGACTTCAAGCTCCCAATGCAGGGGGCCCGGGTTCGATCCCTGGTCAGGGAACCAGATCCCACACGCATGCTGCAACTAAGAGTTTGCATGCCGCAACTAAGGAGCCCACCTGCTGCAACTAAGACCCAGTGCAACCTAATTAATTAATTAATTAATTAAAAAAATAAAAGAGTAGAATAGGCCTGTGCCAAACTCAGAGCACTTAGTACCATATTCATGTTGAGCTTACTGATTACGTTTCACCAAACATCTTTTGTCACATTAATGTTAACTTAAATTTTATCCATTTTATAGTTTTGTTTGTAATGAATTTGTAAACTGTTTTAGTTATACAATTTTATGTGTAAGCGTTTATATTTAGTTGTATATTTAAGTTACATTATAATTAAGATATTTTAATGTCAACACTGGGAATCCATGAGAAAATTTTTCCTTCAAAAGAAACACTGCCAAAAAAAAGAAGCACTGCCAAAAGAAATGGATCACTGAAAATGTTGAACAGGAGAATACAGGATAAATACAGTATTTTAGGAAGACTACTAATGTAATAATAATGGGCAAGCTGGTCTGAAGAAAAGAATAAGGGATAGAAAGAATAGCAAAGGCCGTTGAAGTCATCTACTGTGCTGACTAGACTTGGATGGCAGTAGTAGAGAAATAAAGAAGTAATGAATATAAGATATTTCCAAACAAAAAGTAACAAGACTAAAGTAACAAGACTCAAGTGAACATAGAGTGTGAACATGAAGGAATAAAGGTTTTGATTCTAAGTAACTAGAAGAATGATAGCACTTTTAAGAAGAAAACAAGCTAAGAAACCAAATTAAGAAAAAAGTGAATGATTCTGGACATAGAAACAGAATTTTAGAGCAGAACGCTAATCAGCATTTGAGAAGACAGTCTATCCAACGGCAATAAAAATCATCAAGGAATGAATGAATAAACTCCCTATACTACATTGGTAATATGGGGTTGTATTCCAATAGACAGACAGATATAATGAGGCTACAGAAGGTTAGAGCTGAAGTGATGAGAATAGATGACTACTTGTTTGACAAAAAGAAGGGCAAAAGCAAAAAAAGAGTTGGGAGGAATGAGTTTTGAGAAAATATCTAAAGTTGGGGACATGTAAAAGGATACTTGCAAAAGAATAAAGAAGGAAAATATTACACTAGTATCAAAAGAAGGAGGAAATTCTTAGAATACAGGGATAGTTAAGAATTAAAGGAGATTAAGCACCTTGGAACTAAGATAAATCCTTTGGCTTAAGCAAGATGGTATGATGATATTAAAGAAAGTCATATCAACAGAGTGTTAGGAAAGAGAAGTTAGATAACCTATTAGTAATCTGTACCACTCAGATGGCATAGGACACAGGAATGTTAACCAAAATTCCAGGTCTTTTATCAATAGGAAAAGTATAGACAAAAGTTAGGAAAGAAGAAAGTAAATTAATTATTGGGGGCTGAGCCCTTTCATATGAAGTTATTCCACTTAATCCTTAAAGCAATACACTAAAACAGGGGCTACCATCCCACCATAAGGTGAGAATATATGAAGATTTGGAGAAGACAAATAACTTGCTCAACGTTACAAAATTAGTGGGTCTCCAAATCTCACTGTCTTTCTGCAAGTTTCAATAGAAAAACAGGAACGTGTATATGAAAGCCTGATATGTAAAACTCACTAGACAATATAAACCCCTGAGGCAAGGGCCGTGCTCATTTTAGGACTCATTTTATCTCCAGTGACACTAGCAAAGTGTCTAGCATGTAGTAGGTAGTTAACAAATATTGTTCACTGAATTACAAAGTTAATAAAAGAAATAACCAAAGGAAAAAACAGTCATAGCTCTCTGACTGATCCAAGTCTGAGAAACTCTAAAGCTCTTCAGAGCACAATTAGAAAATACCAGAAAATTGTAAAGGAGTAATTAAAATTAGAGAAGGGAAAAAAATTTTAATTTTTTCGTTTAACAGTTTGAGAGAAAAAGTTCATACTGGCCTCATGACACATACAAACATTAATCCTAATGAATTCAAGGTAAATGTAAAAGAAATAAAGGCAATTGATTAGAAAAACATATAGGTGATTATACTCATGATATAGGTAGCCTTTTAAAAAGGAAAGAAAAAGGTTGGTTCCTTGGTGTAAGCTTCAATTCCAGCTCTTCAATTCCTCCTCCAATATGCAATCTTTTCTTCATATCTTTTTCCATATATTTATTCCTTTCTACTTGGTCCATTTTTCCTCTCACCCTCACCATCAGTCCACCTTCTAAGTCTTTCCTCAGTGTCTTCTGAAGCCCTGAAGTATTTTGAACAGTTACCTTTATGCCCTCAGTCTCAGTTACTCCACCACAAGCTTCATTTTCATTTACCTGCAATCGTAGCAGGTTAAAGGCTTGCCTCCTTTCCCCCCTTGCTATGATTTAAATTTTTGTGTGCCAACCAACTTCATATGTAGCCCAATATGATGGTATTAGGAGGTGGGGCCTTTGGAAGGTGCTCAAGTCATGAGGCTGGAGCCCTCATAAATGAGATCAGTAAAGGCTGAGATTTTAGATGGATTAATAAAACAAGATCCAATTATATGATATCTATAAGAAAGCAAGTTTAAATATGAAGACACAGGTAGGCTGAAAGTAAATGGATGGAAAAATATATACCATGCAAACAATAAGTATAAGAAAGCTGTAATGATTATATTAATTTCAAATAAAGTAGAATTTATGGCAAACAGTATTACACAGATAAATGTCCCAAGAGGCATTGGGAGACAGTACTTTAGACAGAGAGCTAAAAGAAAACGGATATTCATGGCAAAAAGAGCACTGAGCAAAGGTACAGAGAGGTAAAACAACATGGTTCTTTTGATGAGGGGAAATGAGACAGAAGAGATCATAGGAGAGGTGGTAGAAGCCACTGATAGAAGGACTTTTGGACCACAGACGGAGGTTTGAATTTTACCCTATAGGCCAGAAGTTCCCAAAACATTTTGGTCTCATGGACCCCTTAGCTCTTAGAAATTATTAAAGACTCTAAAACACTTTTATGTAAATAGGTTATATTGATAAATATTTGTTGTATTAAACAGCAAATTTTAAAATATTAACTTAAATATAACCAAAAAATTTACATTTTAACATAAATACAATTTTTATGAGAAAAATGACTATTTTCCAAAACAATAAAAAATCAGTGAGAAGAGAGATATTGTTTTACATTTTTTAAAATCTCTAATGTCTAATTTAATGAAAAGCAGCTGCATTCAACTTTCAACCTGCTGTTATGTGTTGTTTGCTTAAAGTATATTTAGTTGGAAAATGGTGTAGTATTTTAATAGCCTTTAATATAATTGTATATATTCTTCTTCACTTAACAAGTGGTAGTTTCTTAAAAGCTCACTGCAACATATAATTTCAAACTTCTACCAACGACCTTTTTTTTTTAACCCTGTTGCATTAAAATCCACTGGTAATTTTTTTTATTTTTATAAATCTCAGTTTTTTTTTTTTTTTTTTGCGGTATGCGGCCCTCTCACTGTTGTTGCCTCTCCCGTTGCGGAACACAGGCTCCGGACGCGCAGGCTCAGCGGCCATGGCTCATGGGCCCAGCCGCTCCACGGCATGTGGGATCCTCCCGGACCGGGGCACGAACCCATGTCCCCCGCATCGGCAGGCAGACTCTCAACCACTACGCCACCAGGGAAGCCCTTGTATAAATCTTTTATCCATGCATGATTTTATAACATCATATACATTGATCATTTGGAAAATATTAGTTCACTGAGTTATGCAGATCTTCCAAATGCTGACTCTCTATTATAC